TATTTATTTATTTAATCCACATGTCACGATGTGATTGTACATGTGGGCTCCACTTATCTTCAACATCATACACTTAACAGAATTTTTGACCGTAAGGACCATTTGTGATAAAAAGTCCAAACGTTAAGGACTATTAGTGTCACAAAAAAACCTCAATGACCATTCGTGATAATTTCGTAAACGTCAAGGACCATTTGTGATAAAAAGCCTTATCATAAATAGGAAAACTTCTGATGAGGTCCATAACAGATATAACTTCCTTCCTTTTCTTGTGTTTGGGATTTTGGACCATTTACTTGGGCTCCAAAGTATAATTTTATGATTTGACTCTTTGCTAACACCACATTAGCATTATTACAGTGCCATAGAATAATTTGGGCCTTTTGATGGTATATTTGTTTTTGCAAATCAAATTGTATATCGTGTTAAGTTATTAGTCACTCATTTGTGTCAATTTTGTAATGTAAATTCATGATCTCAATCATTCATTTTTTAGGTTCTCATTGAAGGACCATAACTGCAAGTATTCTATAACAAATACAAAATCGTCTAACCATTTCATTATTATATTAAATAACTTCATTATCTATCGTATCATTGCGCTCGTTTTTTTTGTTTCAACATTGTTACATAACTAAACGCGCTGTTCAATTTTAATGAATTTTTGCAATGATAATTTTTCAATGAGGACCTAAAAGATGAAAGGTTCTCATCATGAGATACATTGAAAAATGGGCCCAAATAAATGGTTAGGGTGTCGTATTAATTTTTTAATCAATTAGCACTTGAGTACATGTATAGAATAACAATTGTTAAATTATTTGAGAGACACTCTTAGGGCTCGTTTGGTACGTCGGATTGTACTAATTAATTTCTATGGGAGAGTACTGACTGTTTATCCATAATATTATAAGACATTTGGTGTTGTTCTGGGTAAATAGTCTGACAAAATTATATTGTGTTTGGTTCTGTTCCGAATAACATCGGATCATACTATTTTTTTTTTAAATATAAATACTTTGATAATTTAATGAAAATTTAAATTCATTGGGAAATTAGGGAGTAATTTAGTGGGAAGTTAAAAGGGCTTTTAATTTACCTGCTACTTCTTGCCATTAATCCCATATATCCATCCATCATCATGAATTTGTCTACATACGTTTTAGTTAATTTAGTTAACTAAAATTTAATTTTCAGCATTCACCATATTAAATCGAACAATCCACTCATCGATCAAACTGAAGCTTGAATTTTGGACATCTGAATTATGAACCAAACTCATCCAAACTCATCCACTCATCCACTCCCCAACAACCAAACCCAAGGTTTTTGGTTGCTCTCAGAAACATTGAGTTTCAATTCAATGCCAAACATAGACAAATAAATAATTCCACAATGCAATTACATTGCTAACCTAATTTCCACAAAAATAAAAACTCATAACATAATTTCCACAAAATTTAATAAAAGAGGAAATATATAAAGAAAAAGAAAATGAAGACAGGAGAGAGAGAGAGAGAGAGAGAGATGGATACCTAGAGAAGAGTGAAGAGAATAACTTGTAGAGAAGAACCTTAGGGAGAAAAAGATGAAAATAGGATTTTTCATGTGAAAGTGTGTGTTCTTTTTCCCTAGCGGTATAATTAAGCGTGAATTATCTAAACTGGGGGTGTGTGGGTTATATTAGTTAGTCAGGTAAGGAGAGTATTAAAAGCCCAACCTGTTTAAAATAGTTAGGTAATTAAATAATATAAGTTGACACCAAACAACTGACATGAACTATTTACTCCTATCCAGAATCTAATACGGTGTACCAAACGAGCCCTTATAGGGTCCATTCCGTATTATATTTCATTAATCCAAACCGTCTATTTTGTAGATATTCATTGAAAGATCATCTATACAAAAAATCACTTGAATCTAATATTATTTGACCACTCAATTGAATGATTGAAATTTTATTATTTTCTTGAAGCATCGTGTTCATTGTTTTTGTATGACACAATTAGATGTCGAAACGGTTTTTGATTTGTCTAATATTTTGCAAAAATGTTCTATGAATGTAGACTTAAAAATAGATGATTTGAATCGTTGAAAAATATTCGTAAGAGATCCTAAAAGACGTTTCTCAAACAAAATTATTTAAGGGATCAATAAAAGGGAAAGCCGATCCCCTATCTAAAGCACAGTTCATATTTAGTAGACACCAAAAGGACAAGTTGAAGTTGTATTTAGATCCTATCCCTCATGAACGCTCTAGCTCAAGCGATAATTCATCTCTGTGGTGCAACGGTGTCACCGACTCACCGTTAGTGTAGGCATCATGCATGGTGGTAGCTGGTAGGTAAAGAAAAACGGAAAACCCAAGAAAATGGACAATTATACATTTCCATTCTGACATAAGAAAACAAGCTATATCTTTCTTGTTTGACCCGTAGTTCAAGGCTATCAATTCGCACCCGTGTTTACCCAAATCTTTAACAATCTTCTCTTTTATTGAATTTATTTTGTGCAAACAAAAGTAAGAATTTTTTTTAGTATAAATAATAGTCTAAACTAAAAAAAAATGGGAATTTCTCTCACACACAATTAAGATGTTATGAGAGTTCAAACCTGAAACCTCTTATCTGTAAATTAATGTCATTTTTCACTGGACTAGATCCCCTTGACAACAAAAATACAGATTTAATCTCACTTTTCCTTTCGAAAACCCCAATATATTAATAATAATCATAATAATAAAAGTTTTTATAGGGCCGGCAACTCATGTATTTTTATCCTTGTTAGCCATGAGAAGAACATTAATTTAGGCCGACATTGGTGGCCAATTATAGGGCCGGAAATGGGCCTAAAAAATAAGCCTAACAAGACATGCGGCAAGAAGCTGGGAGGTTGGCATTTTTTTTTATTATAAAACAAAGTTTAGGAGCAGATTGACTGCTCTCATCACCAATGCTGGGGCACAGTGGCGGATCTAGGAATTTTGTAGGAGAGGGGCAATATTTAAAAGGATACAAGCACAAAGAAGAAAAAAATTATGACCAAATACCCTTAAATTTAAACAATAATAATGTAATTCATAATTAATGAAAAAAATAAGGTCATTTTGAATAATACATTTTGAAAAAGAAAATGATAATAAGTGAGCGCAGCAAATATAATAGCAAAGCCTTTTTGAGGCATTTAGTCGAGCACCTAATAGGCATCAATCAAGGTTTTAAAAAGCAAAGCGTGGTAGAGAGGCATTTTTGGTCTTGTAATGTGAGGCGTAAGCCTTTCGATCATAAATTAATTTAATTAAAAAACATTATAATAATTAATTAGAAGTATTAGCTCTATCAAGCATCCCCGCATATATGTTATATTAGACTTACAATATTCAAGCTAATCTAGGCATATTCAGAGTGCCAGAGAAAACTAGAGAAATAGTCTAGAGAGTTAAGGATGCACGTGGCTTAAAATAAAGGTAGGAATTTGATAGGTTGTTCTCGGTCCTTTTGGGAAGATAAATAAGCTCAGCAAGTCCATTTTGGGCCTGAATTCATGGTGATTGAAGAGTTTCAAAATGAAACGCCATCGTTTGTTTTCAGTTACAAAACACATTGTTTCATTAAAAGGATTTCATTCCCCAAATTCAAAATGGCGTCGTTTCATTTTGGAATTATCAGAAAGAAAACTAGGGCACATTGGTCATCTTCTTCACAAGAACTGCGCCTCAGGCAGACTCAGTTGCAGCTGCAAGAGATTTTCCGGCGAGCGGAGGTGCAGATGCACCTCCTTGGGCCTTAATAGGTCCGCCAGTGCTGGGGCAAACCCACAATCTAGAGCCGGAAGGACTTATGGGTGGCATTCAATTGCTAGCTGCCATCGGTATGGATTTATGTGGAAAATTACAGATCACGCACCAACGAGGATTGCTAGCAGCAGAGACTCAAATACTGGTGGGTCTACACACAATGCAAGGACCTTATCAATTGGACCAACCCTCACACTATGCCATGCGTGTCCAAATGTTTGAGCTGATTTAAATATGTCACGCATGCATCTGATTAATTTATGAGGTAAAGCTCTCATTCACTCACACGCAGTTGAGTAATCAACGCATTTAAAGTATATGAAATAAAGCATACGCATTCTCTCTGCATTGAGAAGTTATATATGTTCATTCACGAATGGCATGCACAAGAGAAAAAAAAAATTGTTAACAGCTCAATAACGTGCATTAATTTCATTAATCCATGTACCAATCTGATATAATTATGCTAATTGCTGATCTTTTAC